GGGCACTGCAACAAATCATCAAACCCTCTGCAGCAAAGTAACCCAGTACAGAAGCAGGGCCCTGTGGGAAACAAGGCGGGTGGCCAACTAGGAGAAAAAGAGTGGAGGGTGAAGGCTTATTTGACCTCAATGGATTCTCCCTCTCCCTTGTGGGGCCAGAGGAAGTCCGATATGGCTCTGGCACCACTTCTTCATCATCCATTGTTTCCTTAATTATGCTGAGGTTGCGATGAGTGAGAAATCAACTGGATGGCGACAGATTTGGTTTCTTTTTATGCTAAAACACTATTAAAATAAGAAGATGAAAGAATGATGAAAGTGTCTGCAATAATGCAACAGTGAAATAAATCTTCACTATGACACAATCTTCCCATTTTCCTATTGTCCTACTTAAAATATTACGACATCTTTCAAGATGGTCTATCAGAAGTCTGGTAAATTACTGCTTGATTTGAGCTTTTATTGGACACAGTTGTGAATTCAGATTTGATTTCCCACCGGTCATGCAGAGAAGTGTGAGAGAGGACTATGGTTTCCAATGACCCAAATCAGAAAATGAACGCACAGAGATGGAACAGTACACCCGATCCTAATGAAGCAGGTGAAAGAAGCCACAGACACAACGCGCAGACTCGGCAACTGCAGATGACAGTGTTCTGCCTGAATTTTCTCAAACCCAAGTGGAGAATCTATTTCTAAGGATGAAAACAAAAGGCGGCATTTTCATCCAGTACCTAATACAACATGAGGTCTTCACTGAACATTATTTTGTGAAAAGATACCAGATCAGTCCATTTTGCTACAAGGACATGGGACAGGCAGTACTGTCGTCTCTCGTTTCATTTGTGCACCCAGAGTTCTGTGGGGATCCCTCCTGGACCTGGACTGTGAGAACACCTCTTGGAGCTTGTTTAGGTCCAACCACTGATGTCATCACTAGCCGAGGGCAGATTTTAAAACTAATTTCTTAACTTGGGGGTTCCAGGACATGTAAGTCAAATCCTAAACCGGCGTGAGTCAAGAATCCGTGGTTTAGAATCCCTCAGGAATTGTCTCCAGCTCCCACCGCAGAACTCAGACATACCAACGTTTCTGGGATTGGTCTGGGGTGGCAGACTAGTACTTCCTCGTTCATGCTTCTCATCGAGAACACAACTCTTTGACATTGCGTGTCTCAATCCACACCTTACGTGGACGCAGGATTCATCTGCTGCCCCTGAAGTGGGTGGTAAAACTAAAGCTTGTAGGTCGCAAGCCCCAAAGCTTCAGCTCACAGCCTTCTGACTCTAATTTTCTTTTCATTATGAGACCTCGTGGCAGCTCAATTATGCATTTCAAATAATTTAAACTCCATTCTACCCAGAATTTGAAGAAGTTTACAGAAAGACAGTATTCAGTCTACCTAACCTACTAACCAGAAATCAGAACCAGAAATCCCACAGCAGTCTTTAAAACCCTGCCAATGAAATGGGTAATGCTGAAATTAGTAAGCACTGGTTTGCTCTTTAGTTAACTTTTTTTCCCTAAGATAAAAAAAAAGTCAAGCTTTCTTGGCGTTCTACAACTGTGCTGACTTGTTAAGTAAGCTAACTTTCAGCTCCTAGACCTTACATACACAAAATTCTGCAAATCTATGGACTTATTGTCTCCTCTTTTCAAAGGAGAGCTGAGTTCAAGTCTGGAAGAAATGTGGAACACAAGTGTTACTTGAAAAGACAGTCATGACATATGTTTGTGAATCCTTCGGCTTACACACTCACCTACGTCTGTGTCTGAACACGCGAGGAATGACATCTACGCACACAGTGTCAATCCTCCACAAGCGCTAGCTTGGTGCCTATATAAACTAGGTCCTGAAGACGTTTTGCCAGCAGCTTGTTTCAAAATGTAGAATACAGTAACGATTTTCCACCATAGATCTGGGGTTTGTTGATCATCTAAGCCATACTAAGCTCTTGCTAAGTTATCATTCTATTCATATTACCCTCCTTTGCTCCTCTTCAGCATCAGCAAAGAGTTTACGAATGTTAGCCTCTGATTCTCCGACATATTTGTTCAGGATTTCTGGTCCATTGACTATTTTGGGCTCTCTTGCATTTAACATCTTGCCAATCTGTCGAGCCAGGAGAGTCTTACCGCATCCCGGGGGCCCATATAACAGGATGCCTTTAACATGTTTGCAACCTAAAAGATAAAGAAAACAGCCTGGTGTCAGCTACCTGAAACTCCAGTTAAGACATCGGGAGGAAAGTGCTTTCTCCTTCAGGTGCATCTCGAGAACAACACAACAATGTCTTTAGTTCACAGACATAAATACCCATGTGTCACAAACAGTTCTTTTTTATAGAAAATCAGAAATAACTCCTATAACAGGACTAACATTTAAAGGAAAGGGCTGCCAATACTCAAACTATATTTATGACACACTCTGGAAACATCCCTGTCCTCTAAGTGCCTAAGAAATATTACTTACTGTTCTTTATCCTTTAACTTAGAGCAGGAAGAACTGTTTCAGGCAAATCCAACCCCACACAGATGGGGTTAGATGAAATCATAGGCTGCAGAAATAGAGACCTGGCTTTGAAAATGATGGCGGCATATGTGCAAATGTGCTTGACACAATGGACGAATGTGTGGATTGTGATAAGAGATGTAAGAGCCCCCAATAAAAGTATTTAATAATAATAAAAAACAAAAAAATAAATTGTGGAAAATTAAAAGAAAGAGACCTGAGTTATACAGAATAAAAGGCCCACCTGTCAGTATAAGCAATTGTAAAAAAAAACACCACATATTTGGGCTAGATGCCTGCAGAACAAGCCATAGGCTCCAGACGGATAGTACAGAATAGATTCTGTGGGTAACGTTTCCTATCTTCCTCTGTGTGACTCATGCCAAGTGAGGCTTAGCAGGGCATCTCAGTTAAAGTGAAGTGTTGAGAGAGTAGTCAATAATTTCCTTGGCAAGCTTTGCTAAGTGACTTAAAGGGATGGTTAACAATAGCAAAACAGCATGGCCAATGATCTCAAGGCCCCAGTTTCCTTCAGCCAACTCCATAGGAGCGTTTCCTCTGCTGTGTAAAGATTAAATGACCTGTGACTTCTGTTACCCACTCAAGGATCCTCACCTTCTAGCAGTTTCACAGTCAAGATGCATGTCTCCATTCTTTGCTCTCCACCCAAACTGCGCTTGGCAAAATAATGAATGATTAGATTTCAGTTACACTCAACACTACAGGTGAAAAATAAAATGTTGGAAATGTAATAGAAACAATATGTTTCCATGGAAAATAGTTTGCCCTCATTTGTCATGAAAATTTTACTTTTAGCAAACTTAAAACAATACACACCCAACAGTCAACTGATGCTTTCATGCTTAGAATAAATCACAGTTCTAGGGTTAGATTCAAAGAAGGCAACCCTTTTGGGTGGCGGGTATGTTCATTACTTTTCTCTTTAGCTCAAGGAAAGCCTCCCTTGTAAATCTTGTGCTTATAGTAAGGATAGCAAAGAAGAGGGGGACTTCATGGAAGCCCTAAAGGCTTACAGCAGGCGTCCTCAAACTGCGGCCCGCCGAGGACATTTATCCGGCCCGATGGGTGTTTTTGCCCTGTTTTGTTTTTTACTTCAAAATGAGTTATGTGCAGTGTGCATAGGAATTTGTTCATAGTTTTTTTTTTTTTAACTATAGTCTGGCCCTCCAATGGGTCTGAGGGACAGTGAACTGGCCCTGTTTAAAGTCTGAGGACCCCTGGCTTAGAGCCTTAGCTCTTCTCATCACAGTGTACCTCTTACCTCAAGAACCACAGCTCCATAAAATGTCCTTCGTCCTTGACTCATCCTTTCAAGAGAGTGGCAAAGAGCTAAGTGGATACGCTCTGAGCTCCTCCCAGAGGTTGACATCACCACTGCTAGCATCCCAGCCAGTGGGCCACATTTGCTGAGGAACCGCTACCACGATGATGTGAAAGGGTCCACACAGAGACTAACGGGCGCAGGGAGAGGAGAGGCAGCAAGCAGGAGATGACAATTTGGTGGGTACTCAGCAAGTATACGGCCTTATCTTCATCTCCAACTTCTTCGCTTTCTCCACTTACCCATACTTCCTTCCACATGGAATCAGGCTTTCTCTCACGGACTCTCAGCTTCTTGGTCTCGCACTTTTGTTACACCCGCCCCACAGGCTTCTAGGACACTGACTTGACAGGGCCTACACACTGGCCACAGCACAACTGGAGAAGGTGACACCCTGGTACTGATGCGTAGCCCCACGATTTCCTTTGTCAGCCCCCTTCCTTCTCCTTAGTCATCATCCGGGGCTTCCCTGTTCTCTTCTCACCAGGCCTCCACAAGCCAGCAATTCTTAGAGGCACCGTCGTTTCCTACTCTACATGCTGTCTTTTTAATTTTAAGACTATCCTCTAATTAGAATTTATCTGCAAAAAATCATTCTCAACCACGACCCAGTCTAAGAGGAGTTCCTTCCTCATATCCAAGGTGTAATTTGCAATGACTAGGTGTTTACAAACTTCTCTATTCAAGGACAGGTCTTATCTCATTAACCCTGAATTACAAACACCTAGCATTATGTACTCAATAAATGGCTGAACTACAAAATAAAAATAATTAAGTAAATAAATACGAGAAATAAGTCACTTGTAATAATTCCTGGAAGCCCTTAATGTGCTTACTTTCACAGCTGAATTAATTCAGATACCTAAAAAACACATTTGCAGTGAATGGGCTTTTTCAAGTTTGGCAAAACAAACTATGTAATATGTATTTGAACCTTAACCTTGCAGCTGTTTTTGTAACTGGAAAGTGCTCCATTTAATGTTTTAAATTAAACTGACTAAAGTTTATAAACTAAACAGTTCACAAAATGTTACCATAAAGGCTGAGAGAAAATGTAGGTCCATGGAGATGATTATGTGTAATACAGATTCACTGAAATGACAGGCCCTATTCAGGATAATAACAATAGGCATGGCCGAGAAGATCTAGTCCGCACTAGAGCTAGACTTCTCTTAGGAGCTCAAGAAAGCACGCAAGACACCGTTTGACACATGAAGGTTTTCAAAATCCACAAAGGAAGCTGGCACTTGAGTCAACAGTGGAATGAGACTTTGTTGTTATTGTTACTTATTCACTTATTCAATAAGCATTGGCCTGTAGTTTTAAATGAACCACAAAAGCTCTTCCTAAGTAATTACAGTCAACAAAGGTATATTAGCTTCTATTTGGACCAGGCATGAATCTAGGCGTTAGACAGAGATGCCAAGATGGACAATGTCATTACATCCCTACCTGCAAGGCGCTCCCAGTCTAGTAGTAAAGAGAGAAATAAAGATCGGTATAAAATGACGTGTCAGAAACAGGTGCTGATTGTTTTTGATCTGCCAGTAGGAAATCAGGATAGCCAGAGGGAAAAGGTACCTTCAATATGGGCCTTGGAGGAACAAGGAGGAGGTTCGAAGTTGAGCAAGGCAGAGGAAGCGGGCCCCGAGAGAGCTGAGAGGCACAAAGGTATGGTCATTGAAGGCATCCTCCCCAAACAGCCACCAGGGTTGTGGCGAGAGTGCTGGAGGGAGGAGAGTTGGGTGCTGAAAGATGAAGGCAGCAGCTTGGAAAGCCTTTACATCAAGCCCAGCAGTTCTCACTTAGTTTCTCCCGTGATGGGAGGTTACCCGACGTTTCTAACCGGGGAAGGTACACCATCAGGTAAGTGCTTAAAAGCTAACTCTGGTGGTAAAGTCAAGGCAGGACTAGAGAGCCAAGAGGCAGAAGGTGTACGTCCAGCTGAGGAAAGTTCTAAACCTGCTGGATGGCGGCAGACTGCCCTACTGGCTGACTCTGGAATTTCACCCAACTCCTCTGCAAGCACGTGAATAAAGGTCCAGAGGCCTTAGGCAGATGCCCCCAAACCCTGATGGTGGCCCTGCTGTCTCCCGAGCAGCTGCCAGCTCTGCCCTCTGGGAAGCCTTGGACCTGCGGCTGCTAGACGGTTTGATGGCAGAGCTATACTGGTTGCTGAGGCTACTTATTGAAAAAAAATGCCTTTAGGCCCCCTCATTTCTTGGCGATTGGTGCCTTGGGCTAGGGAAATAAACAGCCAAGAGCAGACTTGAAGGAGCGAAATCAGTGGAGGTCGCTCGCTTAAACTGCCATCTGTGCTCATTCCCAGTTTCTTTCCCATGTAAGAGGCTTACTGACCTCTCCAGCAACATGTGCATATACAACACTCTGTATTCAACTTAGGGAGTAGTTCTAGACCCTTTGACGTTCATCCATGGAACCCAAATCAAGACCTGCGAGTTACGAAAGAGTCCGTATTCGAGAAACGAGCGGCAGAAAGAGGGAAGAGTAAGAGAGTCACAAAGGAGGAACCCAATGTAGAGATAATAATCAGAGCTTAGAAACCAAACAAATACCAGAGACAGAGGTGGAGTCAAGGGTAATCTTTAAGAATCTAGCCTGGCCCGGGCACACGGGTAGAATGATAACCCCAGTGATTGCAAGAAGATCGCAAGAGGACCAGGAGCCAGCCCCTGCAAGTACAGAAAATCAGCACTTGCCTTTTGGCCATAAGCCATTTGAGACTGAGGCAGCAAGATGCATTTAAAATATGGGGGGAAAGCTCAGAACTACTGGATCAAAGTTTCTGAGTATCTGCTCTGGGCACATGGAAAACCAGCGAAAAGTTTTAAAAGAGGAATGTTGATAGCAGGGACATAAGCCGGCCGAGATAGGAGATGAGGCCTGGAAAGAGCTGGTCATGCTGACCTGGATCTCACGGCCTTCAATCAAAGGCAGACAGTCTGGGGTTGAGGTCTGAAGGAAACTAAGTAGAGTGAGCAGGCAATTCAGAGGAGAGATTTAGGGAGGCAGACTGAAAGGACACCTCTTCTTTTGAGCCTTGTGAGTGAGGGGACAAAAGGAAGGAAGCCAGGGTTAAATGGGGTCCCTTCTGGTTACTCTATCAAGTAGGAGCTGGCTCATCTACTTAGGACAGGGGTCCTCAAACTGTGGCCCGCCGAGGATATTTATCTGGCCCGCCGGGTGCTTTTGCCCCATTTGTTTTTTTACTTCAAAATAAGATATATGCAGTGTGCATAGGAATTTGTTCATAGTTTTTTTAAAAACGATAGTCTGGCCCTTCAACAGGTCTCAGGGACAGTGAACTGG